TCCCCTTTTTCGCCCAGGCGGACGGGTAGATCAACTCGTCCCAGTGGGTGGACGACTCCTCCTCCAAACCCTATTAAAGGGTGGGAGGCCGGATGTATGCAGTCCGTCTGATATTTCAGTTTTGACAGACATTTGCTGCTGATGAGATCTGAAGAGCTCCCAGTATCTATGAGGATTCGACCAACTCTCTGGTTGGCCACTTTACATTCAATAACGAGAGGGTCGTCATGCGGCCCCCTTATTCCTCCTAGATCCTTTTCAGTGATGACAATCTCAGGAAATGTATATTTGGACGGTCGTTCTTGGTGAACGGAATTTACATCTAACCGCCTTATATTATCTTTGTTGCCCCTAATAGTGGGGCCGCCTCCTGAGAAGCCGCCTGCAATGGTGTAGACGACTGCATCATCTGTATCGGAACTGTCGGCCTGTTGATTCTTTTTGGCCGACTGCTTTTTTGAGGAAGTATTCCCCGTAGATTTCTTGACATAAGTGTCAAGATCACCTTGATCAGCCAAGCGGTCTAGGTACCGCATGAGACTAATGCAGTCGTTGGTGTGATGACCAATGTCATCATGATAAGCACAGATTTTGTCTTGGTTCCGGTTGCTCGCAGAACCCTTCATGGGGAGCGGTTTCTCAATTGAGAGCCGTCCCTTTATTTCTTTTAGGATAAACTGGTTATCCTTGTTAAACACATACTTTGGGGAGTATGGTTTGAATTCCTTTTTCTTCTTGGCCGGCTGTTTAGAGGAATCAGCCGCCCAGACCCCTTTTCTTTTTTCATCTTTGTTGGACGACTGTTTCTGTCGTCCTTCTCTATTGTCGAACCTCTTCCCGTCCGACTGTTTCATTGTACACAGATCAGTCGCCTGTATATAGGCTTCTGCTTCAATCAAGGCCTCTTGAAGAGTCGCCACCCTTTTTCGAACTAAATCAAATTTGAAGGTAGACCCGTCTTTGAGACCTCTAAAAAAGTCAGTATAAGCTACCTCATCCGGTAACCCTTGAATCTGTATTCTCATCAGGTTGAACCGCCTGATGTAGGAACGAAGCCCCTCCTTTTCACCCTGCTGAATTGTTCCCAAATCAAGGGTCGTTTTCTTCGCAGGGATGTTCATTGCAAAGTTGGAGGCAAATAAGTAAGCAAGCGTCCTGAAACTGTTTACACAACCAGTCGGCAGGTTGCCGAACCATTGCTGTGCAATTCCCTTGAGAGTTGCTGGGAAACACTTGCACCAAGTGGGATCATCCAACCCTTGAAGGTACATCAGGTTGGTGAATGCCATCAGATGGTCTTCCGGGTTAGTAGTGCCATCATAGGCGCCTACTAAAACATTTTTTACTTTGGCCGGCTGAGCGGCTTCAGTAATTTCCTTGGAGAAGGCCGACGGCTGTTCACCAAGTCTAAGCAGCCGTAGCTGCCAGTCCATAGGTTGGACGTTTTTTGCTACAGGTCCACCAAATGGAGGTGGCTGCATAAAATATTGTTGTTGCGGCACAAATGGTAAATTTGGTACCGCCTGCGCACTATGAAAGCCAGACTGACGGGAGGTGCCGCCTGACTGACTCTCATGGTACGACTGAGTTGGCCTCGTCGAGGCATTTCGCAAACTGTCCTGAAACTTTGAAGTAGAAGCCGACTCTGATAATCGGTCACTCTTCTTCTGCTCTAGCAGGTGCCGAGCATCTGTGAACGTTTGCTTTGACCCGTCCGCCTGAATATGACGAACCGGTTTCCTATTTCCCGTAGGATAACGGAGTTTTGTGAAATCAAGAGCAGACGGCTCCCGCTTCTTAGATTTAGGATGGGGAGTCGCCTCTCGCCCTTGAACTGGCTTCCTCTTCAGTGAAGTGGAAGGTCTTTTGGCCGCCTGCTCTTTGACTGAAGCAGGCGGTTTTTTGTTGATCAACTCTTGGATCTCTCCCTTGAATCCCCTCATGAAGGTCATGAGTTCGTTCCTTGTGATCGGAGCAGACCCATCAGTCGGCTGTTGCCGAGCAAGCGGTGCGCCTGCTGGCTCGCTTCCTGTTTGAAGATACTCCCGTTCCCTTATTTCAGTATGACGGGTACGGCGGGCCCTTAGGGTCCCGTCTGGAGCTGTATGAGTTTCAACTTCAAATTCACTTTCGGTATCTTGGTCCGACTGAACTTGAGGGTCGTCTAGGGGACGCCTCTCTTCTGGAGTCGGTACAGACTTGGATGCCATCTCTGAAGTACTCTCCCCACAGACGGCGCCAAATGTTTCGGGGTTTTCTGATGTCCTGCGGGAGAGTTACAATTCCGAGACTGGAACCGGACGCCTGTACCTGCAAAATAACGGAGACTCCTGAGAGCTCCGCCTCCAACGGTCAAGTTAGTACCTGATTAAGGAGTAACTAATACAGAAATTAAAGTAATAAGGTCTCTCTAGGTGAGAGTATTTAATGTAGGTAATCTGCTTTGCTAGCGAGATCAGCCGGCTATTAGTGTGTTCTGTAAATTATTCGGTCCCCCGATTAATGAGGATTAATCGAGTATTTATAGCCTTGGGAAGCGTGCAACTCTCTAGGTTTAAGGTAAACCTAGGGCCGAACGGGCTTCTAGACTGAAATGGGCCTTGATGGCCGGTTGTCCCATTTGGCATGGGTGGACACGTGGCGTGTCTTAAGTGGTCCGTGGAGGACGCGTGGCGGAACCTGGTTGGTCCACTTGTCAAACGGCGCTTGGTGGATAAAAATCCCCTAATCACAAGTCACTAATGTTTTCTTTCCATTTTCAGTTGTCATTTATCTCTATCTCTCTCATTATCATGAAAGTAGGTATTAATGCACTTATTATTAAAATTAACATATATCTCTACGTAAAAGAAACATAAAAAACAATACTCTCACAAGTATATTTAAATCACTTTTTGATTAACAAACCTACTCATAATATTTATTTTTTCCGGTAATTATCAAACCTGGCCTTAAAATTTGCCATATCATTACCAAAAAAAGAAAAAAAAAAAGTGAGAGTAAGAAACTCTTAGGGGCCGTTTGGTTGACAGAAGGGAATCGGAATGGAATGAACAAAGGGAATGAAATGGAATGGAATGGCAAAGTGGAAAATTTGGAAGGTTGTTTGTTACAAAAACCAGGGAATCATTCCCTCCACCACAGCACCACCACCACAGCGCAGCTCCGACCACCGCCGAACCCTCACAGACCTCCGCCGACCGTCGCCGACCCATCCCCGAGCATCGCCGACCATCCAGCCCCCATCGCCGACCGTCAAACTCCCTCCCCGATGCTCGAACTCCCTCGCCGACAGTCGCGCCCCCCTCGCCAACGGTCGCTGACCCCTCGCCGACCCTCCAGTCCCCCTCGCCGACAGTCGCTGACCACCACCGACCACAGCACCACCTCGAACTCCCTCCCCGATGCTCCAGCCCCGCTCCCCGACGCTCGATCTCCCTCCTCCACCACAGCACCACATCGCCGACCACTCCCCGGTGCTCGCCGAGCCTCCCCGACCACTCCCCGGTGCTCGCCGACAGTCGCCGTCCGACCACCACCGACGTATATGGGTGTTAGTGTTAGGGTTAGGGTGGGTGGGGAATGGAATGGGAAAGGGGGGGTGGGGAATGGGGAAGAGGGGTTTTGGGGTATTTTGAAAAATGAAATGGGGGAATGATTGAGGGAAAAAGTGGCAAACAAACAGGTTGAAAGGGAATGATTCCCATTCCCTTTCCTGAAACCAGCGAACCAAACGCACCCTTAGTAGTCAAAACTTAGAAATGAGTAGTTGACTCTTTCCAAGTCATCAAAAGCAGAAAAGATATCCTTTACCAGACGAGTGATATAATATCAAATTGAATTACACCTTATATTGGAGTAGTACATTAGTACTAGTACTAGCACTAGATGAAATTGTATCAGTGGAGTACTCCATTTATTTGAACTCAAACTGAGTTTTAGTTCTACTTTGTAGTCATTTACTTTTAGGTACTTTATGTAACACTTCTTTTTACTTTGTCAGTTGTAATGGTTTAGGCTCTTTTCCAGTGACTCAAAACTCAAGTATAAAGCTGTGACGGTAAGATCTTGTTTATTTCAACTTATTTCAGAAAAAATAAGTTCAGATTTAGAAAAAATAAGTTCAGATCAGGTGATTGTTTTATTTGCAATTTTTTATCGCTAAATATATTTAATTTCGTAATGAAAAAAATTATAAAAATTACTTATTAATAAAATACACATTATTATGAATCTAACAAGATCCCTCCTTACAGATTATCGTATACTTAAGGTCAGAGTTTAGTCAAATCAGACAATAAGATCAAATTAGATCAGAGCAGATCAGATCAGATTAGTTCAGTTAGGCAAAAATAAGGTAAACTAAATAGGGCCTAAGTCTGTAATTCACCATTATGCATTTACACTCCCCAAGTCTCCGAGAGCTAGAGCTTTTGTTCAGTCTTTGTAATTTGATACATTGATATTTTGATCTAATCGATCTTAAAGTTTATCTGAAAATCACCGCGCATTATTCCTTAATTAACGTGTGTTACTATTCATTGTAAAATAGTTACTCACCACCGCTTTTATTACTTTTACAACCCTCCATACTTCAAACCAAAAGTTAAGTTAAATAATACAGAGTACTTGTATTACATATGAATATGAATGAGATACAACGGCACAACCATCCTGCCATCATATCAACCTCGATAGAAGTTAAGGTAGTGGAGTAGTGACAACGCTTCTTAATTCAGATTTGTAGTCTAGTGATTGAATTTTATAGGGCTTAGTGAGGGAATTTCCTTCTCTCCCTCAAGCGAGTCCTTTTCTTCACACCTTTAAAACCACCCGAAAACACATGATCTATCTATTGGCTGCATCCACTACAAAATGATGCTGCCTAGGTGGGGAGTACATTGCCAAAGGGGTACAATAAAATTCCCCATTGATTATTTTCAAGAAGTAGTTACAAATCTTACAATTAGTGGTTGTTGGCTAGTTGCAAAGTTTACTAGTAAAATTTAACCTTTTACACCATCCGTTATACTGATTAGACCATTAGCTAAAAGCCAAAATACACTTTACATTAAAAAGGGGGGTTTGTATACATTAAACAACTACTCCGTAACAAAGAACTTACTAGAACCAAATTTAGCACTAGTTTTAACAATTATAAATTCTAAAAGTGAATAAAGAAAATTACACCATCATTTGAAGGACCCCTTATTTCTCCTCAAATTGGCACCTAGATTAAGATATAAACATTAATTAAATTACCAAAATTACCCCCCACTTTATACGAGTTGTATACATACATATACGATATACGATTATCGATATCCGTTTCCTAAAATCAAATAACCCGATTCGTTTCCTCTCACATAACGGAGCAAGCATTCGGGTTTTCATCACTAAAAATCTCAAACGAATCGGACGGTGGAGCAGCATGCGGATTCCAATCCAACGGCGCAAAACCCTCCACGTCACCCCCGTGATGTACATACGCGTAGGAATAAGGCGGGGGCGCAGAATAGTACGAAGCAGTGTAATTGCTGCTAGGATACGCCGTATTGTAACTAACAGCGTACACTGGTGGAGGCGCGTAGTATGTAGTTGGTGGGTACTCGTATACCCGAGTATTTGGCGGGTGCTGACGTGGCGGACTCACATTTTCCGGGTACGGGTTCGGGTTTGGATTCGGACTCGGATTCGGATTTTGCTGAGGTGGAGGTTGTGATTCGCCACTTGGCGGTCCACCATTAGCCACCTGTTCCGTAACTGTCTCACCATTCCCACCACCACCACCGTTGTTCGGTGTCGCGGCGTTGTTTGTAGTGTTATTACCATTTTGCCCTCCTTTCTTCTTTTTCTTCTTCTTTTTAGCTCCGCCACCTCCGCCGCCGCCTCCGTTCCCGGGTGGTTGTTGAGAATCTCCGGTGGCCGGAATATTAGCTTCGAATCTAACTTCTTTAACTTGTGGCTGTTGTTGTTGTTGTTGGGGTGGATTATTCTCAGGTACTTTTTGGGGTTCTGTGTTGTTATTCTGCTGCTGTTCTTCAACAACATTTGGGTTTTGGTTTTGGTTTTGAAATTGTTGTTGTTGTTGTTGTTCGTTTTTGTAGAAATCAGGCCATAACTCAGCATGTTTACCAGATTTTTCAAGCTTTCTTAAAAGAGTGTTTGCATCAACGTTTCCTGTAACCACCACTTTATGTTGCCTTGTATCCACATCTATTGTGTAAACTCCTGCGGAATTTTCATGCAATTTTTGTAAGGAATTCAGCATTTTATGTGAAAAATGAAATTTAAATTACTCTGTAATACGGAAAGTGAGTAGAACAGAAAAAGATCGGAGATAGTACATAACAATAGTTTTTAGTTTTGTTTAAATTATGAGTATATGAAACAGAATTTCAGCATTTTTAGAGATACAGATGGAATTTAATTCAGCTCAGAATTACTTCGTACTGCAGAAAGTGGGTAGAACAAGAAAGAACGGAGAAAATAAGGTCAAGAAATTTATATATTTTGCAGTAGGAATAACAAATTCAGCATTTCTTGAAGGAAAACAAAAAAAAAAAAGACTCAGATAAAAAAATGCTACAAAAAAAATATTCTTTGAAAATTAAATTATAAAACAACAATTATATTAAAAAAAAAATGTGAAAAATGTTTGTAAATTACCTTCTACGCTATGGAGAATTCTCTTGACTTTCCGTTTACATCCTTCACAATGAATAGAAACTCTTAACACCCATGTCTGAAGAACAGAAAAAAAAAACAAAAAAAAAAAAAAACAGAGGAATTAATTAGTTAGAAATTAATACTTTCTAAATAACCACAATAATTAATTAAAAAAAAAAAAAAGAGTAATTAAGAAATGAAATAATAGAAAGAAAAAAAAATACCTTATATTTGAGAGGTTCGGAATTATCAGGATCAGGGCATTGAGGAGGGGCAGCCATTGAAGAAGGTGAAGAGAGAGAATGAATGAAGGAAGACAAAAAGAGGAGAGAGAAAGTAAGGAAGTGATATTAACTGGGCAGAGTAGAATGAGAAATGAGAAGTGGGCTGACAAACAAAGTTGGAATTGAAAGGAATAAATTGAGTGACTCAGTGTAAGGCCAACCCTTTTATTTCAATTGGAAAGTGCCTTCTATTTAATTAAATAAATTATTATATTAAATATATAATCATTTTAGAATTTTCTTTTATTTTGGTTAATGATTTTTTGTTTAGCTGCACAAAATTTTGTACTACAAATACTGCTATTACTTTAATTCTTTATGGTTTGGATTTGACATCTGGCATTGTGATATTATTATTGCTCGACTACTAACCAAAAAAAATAAATTTGGTTTTATGAATTTCGTGCACTTTGCATTTTGGTGATCAACTTATTTTAATTTTAATTTATAAAAAAATATTTGAGAATTTTAATGAGCTAGACTTGCTCGTGACTCATGAGTACTTGTATGTTAAAAATAAGATCAAATTAGTTCAAATTTGATAATAAGTTATAGAAGATAAACTATTGATTCATGTTATTTGAAATATGGCCATGGTGGATGAATGGTGTTCAAAATGTATTATGAAACTTATGTACGTGTTTCTTATTGAATGAACTATATGTATGGTCCTAATTTTGATCATAAAACTTTGATTGGAATTAAATTTGGACAACTAACATAAACATTTGTCATGAGATATGATGCCGAAAGTAAGAAAATGATGAGAATAAATTTGGGGGACAAAGGTGTGAATTGAAAAATTAAGGTAATTAATGAGGAAAGAGGGTTGAATTTAGACTTTAGGACATCCAATGCATGCCCCTAAGTTTTAGTGAAATTAACATGATATCACGTCAACAACTCTAACTTGTAATCCTAAATAAAAAATATAAAAAAAAAATTAAAATTAAAATAAAAGCGTCTACGGGACATAGGGGTCGTTTGGTTCATTAGGAAAGTGAAAATTCCCATTAATTTCAATTTTGTAGGAATTAAATTCCTCCATCAAAATCATGGGGATTCATCAAACTTGTTTGGTTGATAATGGAGAAAGTAAATTCTCATAGGAATTTTAATTTAACTTACGGGAGTTAGGTAAATAAATTCCTATGTTTTTAGGGAAGTCAAAATTCCCATGAATTATTATTGCCGCAATTTTTACTTTTTTGTATCAGCCAAATAAGAAGTCTAAAATGAAATTATTGGAAATTTTGAATGCCTAATGAATTTAAGCCAAACTAATAACAATACCAATGTGGCTATGTGTACATGCTTCATTAAATTTTCCTAGGGTACCACATTAGTCTTAAATGTAGACAATACTTGGCATTAAATTGATGTTTACTTTTGCCGAGAATTTAAAATTTTTACCAACCGATATTTTAATGAAAGTTATAAAATCAAAATTTTCTATGCCAAAAACAAAATAAATTGACTAATCTCGGACTTTTTCCAAAAATAGGACAGCTAACGAGAGCGATGCGAATGCCATTGATAGCCAGATAGTCATGTTCGATGAGCTCTTTTGGTTTGACTTTATGTTGGCAGTATTTAAAAATATATATGTAAACAAATAATTTTAGAGGCATAAATGTTCGCACACTATTTTTACAAGTTTAAAATAAGATAATCAACATAAATGAGGGCAAATAAGTAAATAAACATTTTAGGGTATAATTTATCCAAACACTATTCATAAGAGTTATTCAAAATTTTCAAAGGTATGAATTTACAAATTATTGATTAACCATTATTTTTTTCACCTAGAGGGAATTGTGATTTCACTTGTGAAATGTTTATGTTTAGAACTATCTCAAACTCTTAAATAGACCTGGTTTACATTAATTTATTGTGGACCACTAATATTAGCGTTACTATGTTTAAAAGTTGTTATTTAAAAATACTATGTTCAAAATAACGTTGACCGACACCTTTTTCCAAGTCTATAATGTAGTACTCCCTTCGCCCCTTATCTACATGCCTACTTTTCTTTTTGGGGGTTTTAAAATTACATGCGTATTTCTATTTAAAGAATGTACTTTTTGACAATATTCCCTCTTTTTGTTGAGTTGCCATCAATTTTCTTTTTTTGTACTTTTGACATCATTTTCCAACACTTTCTCTCTCTATCTTTTTAATAATTACCAACTACGTACCTTTTCTTTCTTTTTATCTATCTCTCTCTAATTTTACATGCACATTTGTATTTCCCAATAATGAGTTTTAAGGAATTTTTAATTTTCTTAATTCCCGTGAAAAATGGAAAATAGGCATGTAGATAAGGGACGAAGGGATTACTAGTTATGTAGTATGTTCAACACAATGTTCACTATATAGTACGGAGTATGTATATTTTATTTTTTTTTTGAAAGAACGGAGTATGTATTAATTATGTTCGTGTTTCCTAGAGTTAAAAGTTCAAAAATTGTTATTTAAAAAAACTATATTCAACGCAACGTTTACTATGTAGTATACATTAGTTATGTTCGTGTTTCCTAGAGTTATTGCGATTATATACAACAATGTCAAATATAAAAAGTTATCAATGTGATAACTGGGGGCTACGTCATCACTTATGTTTGATATATAGTTAAACCTAGCATTAACAATATATTTAATGTATCTTAAATCATGATTATCTGATAAGTATAGAACCACTAAAATAAAGGTCAATATTTCAAGTCACATAGCATTTTGTAGTGAAGAAATAAAGACAAATCCCCAATTAATTAGTTAGTTCGCATTCCTTTTATTTCCTTCCAATTGGCCTTCTCTTGTCAGCTTGCATGGACATGCAATATCCCAAATAAAAGTTTGAGTTTATGACATTTTCCACTCACTGAATAAAGAGGATAATAATGCTAAATTTTCATGTATAACAGTTTGTTTTGTATACATAGTGTGCCTTACCTAATTGGTCGCCCCTTTAATATATATTCTATTGCAGGGTGCAATCACTGCAATGCACGGTCTGCTAATCCAGACAATAATTCACAAATATGTCGTGCTCTACTTAAATGTCAACTAGCTTAATTAGCAACCCAATATCTAAGATTGTCCTATCTACGTCAATGTATAATACAAGTATTATATGGAGTTCATGTGCTCATGCATCAGATCATTTTAGTAAATTAAACTTATTCCAATACTTTCTAATATGTACATACATGATAGGGATGTTAGTGGGGCGGGTCAAGTAGGAGACTCGCCCGATCTCGGTTTGGCAGGTGGTGAGGGGGGGGGGGGGAATAGAGATAAAAACCATACTCGCCATGGATGATGGGACGGGGGTGGATATTAGGTTGTACCCGCCCCATCCCTACTCCATAGTACCCCATACCCACATTCATATATTTATTAAAAAATAAAATTGTTTACTTTTATACTTTTTTTTTTATTAAAATTATTATGTAAAATAAAGTAGTAAATATAATATATTCTAATATACTTATATTTTATTTTATTTTTTTTAAAAAGTGTAATATTAACAATGAATTTTTTTTATTTTTTTAATTCTAATCTATGTTATGTAGTATTGTTGTATTTGGGAGGCGTGGATTAGACGGGTCTTGGTGGGGATTGGGTGGGGGTGGATATCCAAGTGGGGGGTGGGGTGGGGATAATTTTGGAATTGTACCTACCGGGACGGGGATGGGGATGAATTTTGGACCCGCCGCGGAAATGGGGATGGAGATAGGGATGAGTATGTTAATTAGGTGGGGATGAGATTGGAAAGCCAACATCCGCCCCGCCCCGCCCCTCCCCGTTGACATCCCTAATACATGATACATACAAGATACAAGTCATACAAGTCATTCATTTTATTTAATTACTATCTACCTTTATAAAATACTAGTATGAATTCTTTCATAATATCAAATAAATAATACAAAGATAAATCTCAAATCCGGGGTTATCGATTTTAACACTTTTAACTAAGCGAATGATTTTACCATTTTAATGAGGAGATGGAATAAATCACCCCAAGCCATTTTTTATGTTCCACATTTATATTAGTCGTCTTTTTAATTTATATAGTACAACTCTTTGTTATTCTTTTTATTTCTCATTAACCGATTTAAAGGATTTAAAACAAGTGACAACACTTATATTTGTATCACAATTTTGGCATTGCATATAATTAATAAGAGTGCTATTTATAATGCCTCCATAAAGGGGTAAGATTGATATTTGTGCTGAAATATTATAAAGTTGGTTATCTCTAGTTACATTTTGCTCCCATTTATGTGCAGCTCGTCTGTACTGTTTTGGTGTTGGGCTCGATGAGGTTCGTAAGAACCCTAAAATATGATAAGGTTGTTTCAGAATTACAGTTACTTTGTATGTATTGAATTTTCCATTAATATGTAGTGCATCAATATTTAAAATAAAAATAAAATTAAAAATGACATACTTCAATTCCTTTGTTTCATATTAGATGACACTCGCCGTCAAAAATAAAATAAAATTAGATGACACATTTCATTTAATCACGTTTGTCAATGCATACTTTCTAATGTAAATATCCTTGATTATACATTAGCAAAAATTATAAAAAAAATTGATATTTAAAAAATAGATTGAGACGAATCCAACAAGACCTCACATGACTATACTTTTTCTCAACACAAAATCAAAAAACGAAGTCAAAGCAAGTATGTGAATAATGCACAAAGTCAAAATGTATCATCTAATTTTCTTAAATTAACAAATAAAAAAAATGTTACTTGGAATTAGAGATTAGTCCAATTTACAAGATCAAAATTAGGTTTAATCCCAACATTATTCTCAAAAAGTCTTTCATTTGTATGGCTGGAAAGGTCATGTTTCAAGTACAGTATTCCTTGTAAGAAGCAGATGTACAGTAATTGAACAATCGATGCAGTAATAATAAACAAAATATAGGAATTTTGTATAGAATTGTGGGATATCCTCAATAAGTAAAGCAATTTGGACACTAGCACAATGTTCCTTTGACCGTGTTAATAACCAAGCATTTATGACCTTTATCGCGGAGATTGACCCATACCCTAGATTTTATACCCGAAATTTCTTAGGTTCACCATAAATTTAAAGAATGGATCGGAGTATATTTACAAGAGGGTTGTAT